GCCTGCCTGCCTGCCCGCCCGCCCGCCCGCCCGCCCGCCGCCTCTCTCCGCCTGCCCACCGCCTTTTGCCGCCTTCCTCCCGTCCGCCGCCGTCGTGCCTTTCGCGCGCCCTTTTACGCTCTCTCGCGAGATATTAATAGGACCGCGGTGCGTGCCGGCCGGCCGGCCGGCGCGTATGCGAACGGCGGACACGAGCCACGCATAAATCGCCGCTCGCGAAATCGCCGATCGCGCGAAACTCATCCGGCACACACTGTCGACACACATAAATATGAGCTGCTCGATGCATCGCGATCTCTGATTACGATATCGTGTTCACTCGCCGCTTCCGGGCGCTTTAAGGGCGCGACTCCACCATTAAGAGACCGTTTGCAGGTAATTCTCCTGCACTTTGCAAATAGGGCTGCGCTTTCGAGTAGGGGAATTTCTGCCAGCTTCGGCAGCGAAAATCCATTTCACTGTGCTGTTCGCACAGGAAAGGGCTCTTTCGTCCCGTTTGCTGTGAAAGCCGTGAGAAACGCGATTACTTCAGTTATTGTTCAGCCCTGAGAGCTTACAGTTGTGTTCGCACGGACCGTAGTGGCATCACGGACACGGAAACGTTTCCTTTTCCTCTTTCCTGATAAACGTAGCATTCCACGTGCGAATGTAACCGCGTCGCTTGCGCGAACATTGGACTATGGTCTACGGTTCTTCTTCGTAAGAAGGCGCTTCAACAGTGAGTCACGAGCGAGGAGCTCGGAAAAAAAACACTGATGTAAACAGAAACTTGCGAGTCGGCCTTGAGATCTGCATACGAACTGCATAATTATCGTGCCTGCGTATTCAGCTGAGATCAACGTGCCACTCTCGACCGGCCCGAGATATTTTATAAAGTATGTCGTTGAACATTGTCGTTGTACACGAAGTCACTCGAAGTCAATTTCTTCCTGTCGGCGTTCTCGCGGACGTACGCAAGAATGTTTGCCTTGCAGAACATTCGGCCATTCTCGCATTTCGAGATTCCTGATAAAGCTATCCATCAACATAGATAGAACTTTGGTTACTTCGTTGCACAACGAGCGATTGCTGCGGCTAAAAATAAGTGAAACGACACATTATTGGGTCATAAAGTGCTTCTGATTCTCCTGCCGTGGGCGTTTGGGACATTAGAGTACTGAAAGTGATGATGGGGATGTCTAATGCGGGATTGACACTCGGCGAAATTGTGAAACGACCTCTTAGTCAAAGAACAAGCAAATGTCATCTTTGTCTTAAAGGAACAAAACAGATTTTTGTCTTTCAAAAACTATACAAACGTAAATGTGGTCTTCGGATCGCTGCTAAATTGTCATTCTTCCGTAAAGGATGACCCTTGGTCATTACTGGTGTGGAGAATTATAGTGACGTGCACTGTCAACGCACACCGTGCCATAGCCCCTCCTCTTTCGCTTTCCTGAATTTAGTAATCTCTTCTCGTCGCCTTCTTGTGACCTGATTGGCATATCTGAGATCTGGCTGAAACCTCTCTGGCACTATAATAAAAGCATCAAGCTATCATTTGATTAGATCAAGTCGGGATCAAAGAGAACTGAGATATAAATGTGACTGATCTATTTATTAATTTTATCGTTATATATTTCAATGTAACATAATTGTTTCCTAAAGTTTATTCAATTTTATGCCTTCTTAGAGAGCATGTCCTAGAATGCTCAATCAACGCTCTAATCTATCTATTCCCATATACTACGGGCGCAGATGGTCTGAGTCATAAACGTTTGCAAATTTATAACACGTAACTCTTGTAAGTACTTGGTTGCACGCGATAGAACAGTTTTCCAAAGTGCTTTTCTCTTTTTTCTTTTTCTTCTTCTTCATGCATGTTACCTCGGTGGGAATTAACGTCGCGTGCGGCTGATAATAAATTACATTAGACTGAAATCTATGCAACAGCAGCAGGAGCAGCAGTCAGGTCACCTGACAAGCGCGATGGAACATGTATTACACGTACGTACCGCGCATTCGAATTCAATATTGATATTCAAGGCGTTTCGCGCCCGGCGGGCACGATACTGTTTTCTGACTGACAAGCGAAATTCCGTCTTAACGTAAGGAAGTAGGCGGTAATATAGGACGCCCGTTGTATCTGTGAAATCCACAAAATTTAAGGCGTTTAACTTTCGTACCACGCGCTATCGTCACGCTTTCGTTTCGAGTGTTATCAACGACGTAGCGCAAATTATGTAGACTTATCTACGTGCGAAATTTTTACGTCTCGCAAAAGACGAGAATCCCGCACATCTGAAAATCCGTCTCTTGTATCTCGTATTCCTCTCTCATCGCATCTGGTTAGTCGTTTATCTGTCTTTTGCGAAATCCTCAGGGCACACGACAGAAATGTGACTATCCGGGCTTACGTAACGGCGATTCACATATTATTATGTTCCACTGCAAGTATACGTTTTCGCGTGACATAACTCGCTCGTTTCTGTTTCTCTCCCTCCCCCCCTCTCACTCTCTCTCTCTTTTTCTGTCTCGCAGGCGTCGACCAAGGATAGGGTCTCAGCTGAATTATTCAATATTTGCCGGTGCGATAGATTTGTTTCTCCTGTTACTGTTCCCGATCGTAATATGGATAACGCGAGAAAATCGTTGCCGGATCCGCACAGCCGAGAAGCATTTCCTTTAAAAGCTATTTTCTTGCGTCACGAAGCGTTTCCTATGTATACTTCATTCATCTGAACAGAGATGGACAACGAGGATGTATCTTTTGACGTCTCTCGCATTGCTCTAACAAATTTATTTTATTCTCAATGATCTCTCTTGTTTTTCAGTATTTACACGCTGAGAAAAAGATACTTAGAAATTTATTTGTGAAATAAAAGTTTGTTTCACGGAATTTCAAATCCATCGTACAGAAATTTTACACAGAAATAAATTTTATCTGCGAAATAAAAACTTTATATCCTACAAATAAATTGTCAAGTATTTTTTCTCAATGCAATGCATGAGCACACTGAGAAAAAATATTTGGAAATTTTTTTTGTAGGATATAAAATTTATTTCACAGAAATAAACTTTATACACTGAGAAAATATAGTAAAAATTACAATACAATTTTAGTAGTCCGAGAATAGATTAGCATTATTACGAAAATTATAATAAAATATAATAAAAATTATTGTATAAATATGATAATTTTTACTACATTTATGATAATTTTTACTGTGTTCATGGTCACTTTTACTATAAATATATTTTTTTATCTTGTTATAATTTTCATCATAATACCAATCTATTCCCGGAGTACTAAAATTGTATTGTAATTTTTACTACAATATTCTATATGTCGTAAATAAATTTTCAAGTATCTTTTTTCTCAGTGCATGTTTAAGCACTTGTTCAGACACACTGAAAGAGATGACTCTCTTGTGTGATTCCTCATAATAAATTCTCTATCGGGAATGCGTTTCGCATGGAAATCATGTCGCTTAGTCAGATTCCGATAATTGCAGGTCTGCTACCACGCTTATTCGTATTACAATCGTTGCGAAAATACTGCGACTGTGACTCACCTATCATACATGTATGTACGTTCCATGTACGGTCGTGTGGCACATCGTAACGCGGCGGATGAGCATCGTGATGGTGTACGCCTTGAAACAATAGGCACTTTAGACCAACTACCGTGGTATTAAAACTCAGCGCGGCCAACGGATACGTGTCGGCTGAATATGTATCGGGCTTAATTTACCTAACGAGTTTTATTAATTATCACTTCCTACGGGCTCGCTCGCTCGCTCGCGAGCACGCTATATCGCCGGACTAATTGAGACGAGTTGCCAGGCATTGCCAATCACTTCGCACGTCGTTCGTTATTTTCGTGCCCGAAGGCCCCTTTTTCTCCGTTCGTCAAGAAAGTTCTCCTTCTCTTTATTGCGTGGAATCAAGTTTCTCTCGCCGGGAGTGCTTAAACTTGCAGTTTCTCAGCGCGACGATCCCCGGCAAAAACTGACGGCAAAACTTCATCGACGTACGTAACCGCTGAACAACTCAATTCGCCGTTAATGTAGGAGTCGGTGTAACACAGGACGGGAATAAATGCCTTCAAATTTTTCCGCGATATTAACGCTATTTCTAACATTAACGCTATCTATATTGATTATATTTCAAAAGTTTCCATATTTTTTAATCTTTAGTTCAACCAATCTTTTCCTCTTTTTTCTTTTTTTAAATTACATCTTTTTTAAGGGATGTCTAAAAGCGTGGTATACTCGAAATTTTTATCTCGTGTCGTATCCTTACATTCTCTATTCCACGCGTATCACGAGTACGCAGCGATGAATAGGACGCGTCCCGAAGCGTTTTGCTTAATGAGTGTCTGATAAACGCCCCGCTCATGAATGCAACTCATTCATCTTCGCAGGTTGATAGAGCCTACTGTGGCAGCTGCCATGCCAACGTACCACAATGCGGGTGGTGGATACCCGAACGTGTCAGCGCCAGCGCGGCAAGCAAAGCTCGACGGCAATCAAAATCACCATACTATCCCTTCAAACGTAACGTCCCATCCCCTCATACAAAACAGCACTCAGCAGCACAGCGTACCTTCCAACCTGACTGCAGGTAACATTCCGTCCCACCCAGTATCGCCAACAATGACCACGCATTCGAGTGTCACCGCCCCGAATATCACGACGCACATGAACGCCGCTTCTACACCGGTGATCCTTACCTCAAATGCCATTAATCCGGGCAACACCACCGCTTTGCCGGTCAATCCGAGACACGAGGTGAAGCTGAATGCGATGCCGTACGTATCTATTACTGGTTTAACTCGATACTTAGAAACACGACCGAGAGGGTCGTCGTGTGCGGTTTTCGCTTCAAACGCGAATGTTCGCAGGGGAAACGCAGCGAGAACGCAGTTGAGAAGACACGACGGATCCTCGGTCGTTTGTTGATCCACGTAAAATTCTACGTCTTTTTTTCCACAGATGGTTTCATGGAAAGATATCAAGGGAAACGGCGGAGAGATTGCTGCGGCCGCGAGAAGACGGCCTATTTCTAGTTCGAGAATCGACCAACTTCCCCGGAGATTACACGCTGTGCGTCTGCTACCAAGGTCGCGTGCAGCATTACAGGGTGAAGTACAAGAACAACCAATTGACGATTGACGACGAGGAGTTCTTCGAGAATCTGGCGCTTCTGGTAGAACACTACGAGCAGGACGCGGACGGCCTGTGCACACAACTGACCAAGTCACTGCCGAAGCAGGGCAAGCAGGATTTCTGCGTGGATCCGAAAGCGTTCGTAGAGGCCGGTTGGGTGATCCAGACTCACGACTTAGAATTAAGAGAGTGCATAGGGAAAGGGGAGTTCGGGGACGTGTTGTTAGGCGTCTACCGAGGGGAGAAAGTTGCGGTGAAGATGCTAAAGGATAACAGCGAGGCGGCGCAAAGGTTCCTGGCCGAGGCGAGCTTAATGACCTCGTTGATTCATGACAATCTGGTTAAATTACTTGGTCTCGTTTTTAATAATCAACACATGTACCTGGTTACGGAGTATATGAGTAAGGGATCCTTGGTGGATTATTTACGATCGAGGGGCCGACTGCACGTTTCGAAGAAGGATCAGATTAATTTCGCATAGTACGTATGCAAAAGTCATCGCCGGCTCGCCGATCGTATAAGCCGCAACACATGTGCACATTTAATGCATATTTAATGTTGCAGCGATACATGTGCCGGTATGGCGTATCTGGAATCCAGACACGTCGTGCATCGAGACTTAGCAGCGAGGAACGTTCTGGTGGCGGAGGACAACTCCGCTAAAGTATCCGACTTCGGTTTGGCGCGGGACGAGAACTTTTCTCTTGACGGCGGAAAGCTGCCGATCAAGTGGACTGCACCAGAAGCTTTAAAACAGAGCGTAAGTACGCGAATCTAATCTGTGTCACGGGCGGGAGTAAGAAATATAGTTGTGTAATTATATATCACATTGCTGTTTCTAGAAGTTTTCAAACAAGTCTGACATGTGGAGTTTCGGAATTCTTCTTTGGGAGATCTATTCCTTTGGCCGCGTACCGTACCCGCGAATTGTAAGCGATACTAGAGTCTTTGATACGACATGCTTGGTGCATTTTGTTCACAATATTTTTCATTGTAGCCTTTAGCCGACGTTGTAAAGTGTGTGGAAAAAGGATACAAGATGGAGCCGCCAGACGGATGTCCTCCAGAGGTTTACGATATCATGAGACAGGTAGATATATAAATTGCAGCCTGTTACGAAACACGTTATATGTCGTATTTTATTGTCGATATTATTTTATCGAGTCACGCATTTATCGTTTGGCAGGCATGGGATTTGCAGCCGGAAAAGAGACCGAGTTTCCACGATATAAAAGTGACACTCGGCCAATTGAGAGCTGAGTACACCAAAGGCGTGAATTAAAAAAAGAACTTAATAAACAGTTATAAACGAACTTCGCGAATCGAAGCGGGACTGAATGATGTGTCTGAATGATTTCTTAATTTTTGAAATAAAGGTAGTGATTCTGAATATTTTTATTAGAAAGAACGAAATGAGATAAACAGAAGAAAAGAGAGACAGGACTTCTATTGTACATTGTATACAAACATAGTATTCGCTTTGCTTATATTTATTGTTATTTTAGTTTTTGAAACGGGAAGAGTTTTAATTTTTATATAGCAATATTTTGCACAAGCATTACCTACGTCAATCGTGCCTTTGTCCAAGTTGACGTTCTCGACTAGGAAATTCAACTTGCACGCGTATAAAATCCGGATATATTCGGAATAAAATCAACAAAAGATGCATAGTATCTGACATAATCGCCTACTAATTGTAATAGCCATGTTTCTTCAAGATCTATTATGGCGATGGTAAAATTAGCTTTGCAACAATTTTTTTCTAGCTGATCAAAGTCTTTTTACATTACAGCACAAATATAACTTACACTAAATTAAATTTGAATTAACTGTTGTGTGCATAACGTTACATTATATGCTATGTAACCCTGTCCATTTTACCTTGTATAATGAATTATTATTCCGTTATTTGTTGAAAACCTGCAAGAAATTTTTATGTGAAAAATTTATATTATTATAAATGTATAAGATTTGTACTAACACGTTTGCTACCATAGTTTGTTACAGAACTTCCTCCCTACACAATCTTATCTTTTCTTAATTAACGTAATTGTGTAAAACAGATTTAATTTGATGATGTGGACATAAAAAAATTTTTTTGTTGTCACACATATGTGATGTTGGTCTCTAGTAACGCTGTCAGTATAACCCAAGTATTTCCATGCTCAAATATTTGAGTAATATCCATATTTGTAGATATTATCCGGGTATACGAGTACTCACGCTCGCAGGTATTACGCGGGTAACCAAACAATAAATAGTTACAGGGAAGTGTTAAATTATTTCGTTCATTAAATTAACTTTAGCCGCGATTTACTCAAAAGGCACATAAATAAAATATGGACATAAAATAAAATTGCCTTCTCTTAGTTCGAGTAGGCGTGAAACCCTTAAGTCAATATATTGATATAATATAGAGCAATTTATATTTTATGATGTCATTTATATTTAAAAAAATGTGGAGAGTAATTAATTAATTTTGTGAGCAACTACGAGACAATAATGTATTTATTGGTTCCTTGTTATCATGAAAAAAATTAATATTCAGATAATATGTGAAATTAATCACATGGTCGAGTATCCAGGTAATACCCGAAAGACCCGGATACCCGAGTATTTACCTGCTAATTCGGGTAATCGAAATTGACAGCATGAGTCTCTAGTGAGAGATTGTTGCGTCACACATACATGACATTGGTAGCGAACATGTTAATTCGTAAAAATTTCTATTATTACAAATGTATAAGATTTGCTTCAACAGTTATATAGGTTTCAAGTACTTGTTTAGTTATTTAAGTTCTTTGATCAAAGATTTGTCGTAGGAAGTATTAATTTTTAACTAAATTATTGCAACTACAACACACCATTATTTAAGTTGTCCCAATATATTCGACTGCATTAATGGTGTAAATGTATCTGTAAATATTTTTGTATATATTTATCCATCAAAAAAATATTTCGAGAACAGATGATATTGGTTGAGATTTAACGAGAACTGTCCATATCTTTCTTTTAGATTTAAGAATAATTTGTACTACGAACGAATGTCTATACACACAATCGCACCACGCCAAAAAATGATTATCACTCGCCGTTCGTTATCTATATTAGTGACGATTTTGTAGATCGATTTGTATATTACTCGCAACATCATTTGTAACCTATCGTTCATTTTCATGAAAGATTCTGCCAACAAAATAACACAGCGGACTAATTGTGACTGTTTGACGGCCGTATTTCTCTAAACGCTAGCTACAAGCTGCGCGGAGAAAATCAAATATTATTTATTCTTTAAGGCACAGCGAGCAACATATGGTCTGTAAAACTGTAGATATTCAATTCTCGTATGTCATACAATTAAAAAAAAAAAACAAAAAAACAAAATGAATTTTTCCTAAATTAAATATCGAGATATCCAATATATATCTATGTAGCAGTTGGCGTAAAGTATACTGCGAATAAAAAAAATTTATTATCTGACGATTTGGGTACGCTCTTTTGGAGATGTGTATTCAAAATTAAACGAAATCTTTTATAATAGGAACAGAGACTGTTGCGACTGATTGAATACTTCACAATAATAGGTTCGATCTTTCTTCTACGAGTATCTCCTCGGTCTGCAATTAGACGTAGTTCTGTAAGAAATGTAGTATATTTAACTTAAGCACACGGTCCGTTTGTAACTTTGATACGATATGTAATGTTATTAGTACACAGTGCTAATAACGCGTATCAATATGGCTCTAATTGATACTTTGGATTGCTTTTTCATTGCGGAGTTCAATATTTTGCATGTATCTGCAATTATCGAACACGAATTCTTCCAGACATGATGATTTCATGTTTACTCTCATGCCAACTTTATCTCCATTTTATATACGCGACATTTCTAACCCAATATAAAGAATCTTGTTGTTTATCGAGAAACATTATAGAACAGTTTGTGTGGTGTGACATTGTTACTTATATCGATGATATATGTACACGAGATTTCCGTTGTTGCGATATTAGTTTTCTTACAACAATATGTTAAATCCGTTTATCTTTTACCGATAATCGCGCTCGATTATATATAGGATGTAAGAAATCTAATATATAAATATATGCTAAATGATAGATCGCAAAAAAATCATGCGAAAGGAATTAAACTGATACTTTATATGCATGTGTTCACGTCGTAACGGAATGGACTATTGCGCGTTGACTTTGATTGCGAGTATATGCGGAACATGTGACAAATATCTTTCCCCATTCTCGCTCGTTTACGGAGCCTGCAATGAATGAACTCGAGACGCTAAAATTTCTCGTCGTACTGTTATTATGCCGCAATTCTAAAAACTCTAATTAGACAGCTATAGCGACGAATAGATCACTCTGTGACGAAAGATTAAAAGTTATTAATAAAGGAAAGAAGTTACACTATCTTGATCGATGTTTGCGTATTTTAATTAACCCTCCAGAGAGATATAAATAACATATTTTTGTGACTTTTGACGGTTTAGCGCTCGTTAATTACTGGATGTAAGTAAACAGGTGCTGCGGTTTTCGCACATATTCATGTTTATTTCAGTTTGCAATCCGAGATAATCGTGAACGTTTAGCACGTGTTCGTTGCCCGCACGTTCCTGTTTAGTAAACATGTTATTTTTAATGTCATTGTGTAGATGTTTATTAAAGACTTGTTTGCGATCATTATATTGTTTCGAGTTCCTGGCGATGAATTCGTTCCCATATTCTTCCATTTCTGGTTTCTCGCAATTATTTTCATTTGTTTTCGTGACTTCAGATAATATCCAGAATTTTTCGCTACTCTTCAGTTTGCTACATGCTGCCCTCTCGATCACTCTTACACTTTCGTTGCGCGTTACTTCATAGGACTCGAGTGCATTGTTCCCAGCGTGTTTTAAAAGGGACAAAGGACATGGATGATCTTGCAAATTTACGAAATCTTTTAATCGACTGCGTATCAGAAGGCTTCTTTGCTTCTCATATGAACGCCCAAGATCACGTGTCAACGTTAAATCGCGATTTGATGTGTCGATCAATAAATATCTCGCGTTAGCTTTTTTGTCCTCGATTATCGAATGTTTGATTTTGCGTATCCTCCCGCCATATCCTTCCATCGCGAAGACTGAATTTCCATCACGGCAATTATGTTTACCGCTTCTGGAAGTTCCTTGATTCACGTCAGAACAACCCAATGTACCAGCGGATACGTCGCGATCTTTTCGATCTATCCGGATTGATCCAGATCGATCGCGTATCGGGGTCCTTTTTAGGACATCAGCATCTATATTTTCACATAATATCGTGCCACGATCCGACTTCAATAACCTTCTATTCAATGCGATCATCTTATTGATAAAAGTGACCAGAGGGTTGCCGATAACAGAAAATATCCCCGAAATAAAGTTCTCGTCGTGCTCCACGTCGGCGGAGAGATACGGCGCGTTATCCTCGTAAAAAGTGTCCGCTGTATCTTTCTCGACATCGTTGCAGCGGAATAAACCTTTAGTAGCCGTAATTCCCGTTTTCGTTATCGTACTCGGATAAGCTCCCACGTTGTCTCTCTCTTTCTCATTACCTGCGTGCAAGGTTTAGATTAAGCTGTGTTTTTATATCTTCGATACCTTAGAAGAAATTAGGCGAAGCTTATAGCGAAACGTAACTTAGTCAGTACATGAAGTATTAAACTACGAAATATTAAAAAAAAAAACTGAAGTATTAAAAAAGAAAAAAACAACGTCGCACCAAGAAAAAAGTACGAACAAATTTATTTGTGGGGTATAAAGTTCATTCACACGCAGAGATAAATTTTACATCCCGCAAATAAATTTTCAAATATCTTCTCAGTGCGCCCAGTTCTATTTCTAGACGAAGAAGGGTTATTAAAACCGATGAAGGCCAGACCTTTCTTCGCAAGTACTTTAACCCGACATAAATCGAGGAATCACCTGCCACAGGCTTGCGCAAATGCTTCGATGGAGGGAATATATTTGCTCGTAACAATACGACGGGTGCCTTGGTGTCTTCTTTGACAACATCGGATACCGTTTGGCACTGACGATCAACGCGGAACTTGGAGAGATCCGGTCTCCCTGGAGTCGCATTCTTCGTATGATCTCTTTCAGCAATGTCGCGCGCGTTGGCATGTCTCGAAAGATTGTCCGTTGAACTGTATTCATGTAATTTTTCAATATCCGGCTGGATGGTCCTTTTTCCACTTGTTGCTGTTCTGCCGTCAATTTGTCGTTTCCTTTGATATTCGCGCTCTCGATCGTACACGATGTTCATCAACAATGAAACGATATGAAATCTGGTCCTCTTTTGGCTCCCGCTAATTGACGGTCCACTCGCGTTTCGCTTGATCACTTTGGCCGCTAGTGACGGCGAGATTTCACCGTTCCCACCCTTCTGTCCATCCTTTTCCTTCTTCAGTTTCAATGTAACCTGCAACGCTGAAGTATACGTGTCGAGCGGTGACACTTGCTCTGTTTCCTGCGTGCTTAAAACTCGATCGTCGTCCGCGATCTCTGTAGCAACGATGGCCTTTGCCTCTTCTTGCGCAGCTTTCATCGGCGTGACACTCGGCGAGATCTCAACCGGTACGTTGTCTTTTTCAATGGCCTCTCTCATTTCCTCCCCTGAAATCGTAATTTCACCCACTGCTTGTTTTTCAGTCTGTCGCAGATCCGCCGATCTCTCAGATTCCTCTCGATCCGTTACCCGGTCGGGGCTTCGAGTAGCGATCGCATCTGACGACTTACAAACGTCCCGGGCATCGATCTTCCCGCTGGGGGTAATCGTATCGCTCCCCGATTCCATTAACGTCCTCGTCGGTTTGTAGTCGGCGACGTTGACGCAGGCTTTGGTCAGCCAGCGTTTCGCGTCTTCCCCGTGCGGGCTTCTCTCCTGTTCCCGTGAGTTCGCCGCCCGACATCTTTGCGTGACGACGTTGATACAGACGCCCGGAGTCAGCCTCGCCGAGGACACGTCCGTTTCCTCTTCTATGTCCTCACGTCTCGCCGTCGTCTCGTCTATCTCGTTGATCTTGACTCGAGGTTTTTTTTTAGCTCCACCAACGCTCTCCTCTGACATGGTCCTGTCGCAAGCGTGGGTCCCTGTGCTGGAACGATCGCGATCGGTCTCGGTTGATCGCTCCGTCACCGATCGACCGAGACCCGAGTCCGTGCTTCTCTCGACTCGCGTGTCGTGAGTTGCCGGAGGCGTAGTCTGGCTGGCAGTTTCGGGATTACCAGCTGGGCATGGCTGCTTCAGCAACAGCCGCTTGGGACTCCGCGGTTTCGCGGCAAACGGGTCGGGCGACGGGTCCGGTGGTAACGTCCTGTACAGCCTCCTCGGGTCCTCGAGTCTCACCGAGTAGCAGGGATCGGTGAATTGTTGCACGATGCGTGTCGACAACGTCGGCGCCGGCAGCATCGCGCACCGCCTGCGGTCGAACTCACCCTCCACCTGACGTATCTTGTTCTGCACGTTGCTCAGCCGGCTTTCCGCGATTGCACGCTGCGAACGGTAGGGCGCGAAGTTCACGTTCACCCTCTCGTCGCACTCCTTCTGTCGCAGCGCCGACAGAAGGTCTCGCAGCTCCGCGTCGGACTTGAGCGCGAGGACCGTGGGATCTATAGGATCAGTCTCCACCTTGATGGTCGAGAGCAAAAGACGCGCATGTCGAGAGTCGAAGTTCGCGTGCGTCGAGGTACTCTCTTAAAGTGAATCAGTAAAAATGTTTCTGATGGAATCAATAAGAGGACTATTCCACCGATAATCAGTGAATATTTACTGACTTTCAGTGAAAACATTCCCACTTTACTACTTTATCTTATATCTCACTAATTTTAGCCAATGGAAATGAGATTCCAAACAATTTACAATTTACAGGTCATATATAAATTCGTTATACACCAAATTCAACTTTCTACGTTTACGGAATTAACGATTTGCATGCGACTTTCGTGCAATGACACTGTTTGTGTTACAAACTGCATCAATAATAGAAACGGCCGCTACTACTAATTGACTCTTTCGGTGAGATTTTACTATCAGTTATAGAGTTTCAGTGAAGAACACACTGATTATACTTTAGAGAGTACAAAACATATAAAGTCATTTTACATCACTACCTCTATCCCGACTCCCTGAGTTTCCATCAGCTTTCGACTGACGAGACCTTCGACCTGCGCCTTCAGCAGATTCATCTTCAACTGCACCAACGTTAGGACCGGTATGATGTTAGGCGGTGGATTGGCGGTCATGTGTAGGTTGATCAGCGCGTTCACTTGCTGCGCGTTCCTCGACTCTGACAGTAGCTGATCCTTCGTCAGCGTGTTTATGGCCTTCTGCGCCCTCGCCATCGTGTCCTCCATCGTGGTAGTCACGTTTGAGCCGGGAATTTTCCGTAACACAAGACGCGTGGCGGCGCACGCTATGATACCCTGCATCGACAGGAACTGCGATGCTAATGCCTGAAGATGTAACGAGGACGGGCAGTTCCTCTTTGAACAGATGGTGTCGTCAGTGGTCGGCGTGCAATGATGCTCGTCTTGGTCGATGTCGTAACTACAACTACCTCGGGCGACGTGCCTAGTTTCTGTGAGCGCGTCGACGTCCCTTCTGCGACAGCAACCGCAATTCTGCGACGTTTCCCTGGCGCGAATAAACTGATCGCAAAAAGGAAACGGCATAGGATAAGAGTAGAGTGGCGGCGGAGGGTAAAAAGCGGGGTAAGTTAATCCGCCTGGTTGCGGATAAGCTGCCGGGGAAGATGTCGTCGCTTGCGACGATGTGAGCGTGGACAGCTGCTGCTGTTGCTGTTGTTGCTGCTGCTGAGGCGTCGGCGATTGCTGACAGTTGCCGGGCAGGATGAAGATGGGCGCGGCGTTACTAATGCACGCACGAATTTGATCCAAAACACTCAGCTGGGCGCAGCTGGGATGACTCGGTAATGAAGGGTTACAAGGACTTTGGAAAATGGGCTGACACGGGTTCGTTATTGTTTGCGCAGCCGGTGTACATTGATGCGCTACCATATAAGCGTCTGGCTGGTAAACGTAACCAGAGGGTCCTTGGACAGCTAGGAGAAGTTGAAGTAAAGCAAACGAACGCATTTGATGTCGTTTAGGAAGTCATTTGAAGGTTGTGTTTCTCGCGAAAAACGAGCTTTGGGTGTTTTATTTGTAAAAATAAATGCATATTTTATATGAACGCAGGAATAAATATTTGCACGCGGATAATCTATTTGTTTGATATAAATATATTTTTGCATAAAACGACAAGGACGAAGGGAGAGAGAGAGAGAGAGAGGGGGGGAGAGAGAATGCACGTGTAGAGCTCGATAAATGCTTCATCATGGGTGAATGCAGTTCGAGCTAAAATGATTCGTTGTTTGATTTAACGTTTGATTTGTCGATGGTCGACTTTGTACCTTGAGAAACTCCGAAACATGGGCCACATGCTGCAGTTTGCATCTGCTGAGTATTAGTTTGCCGTTGTTGACATGTCGGAAAATTATATTGACTCGTCTGCACGGGCACGTTCTGACAGGGCGTGACCTGTGACATCGAGGCCGCGTTACAGGGTAAATTAATCATCGATAACGGAAGGGGGTTAGATCATTGGTTCGCTTTAGTGAATTTAGATTCCGGTTGCAGCTGCTTGGCCCATTTATTCTCTCCACGATGATCAATAATGCATTATTCCGCGCCGGTGTGAGAGTTTGCTTGCAGTATCAGAAAATTGCATTACTTGAAAATTTGGATTTGAGATGTGAATAATGGAGATGTCAAGCACGAGGTATTCCGTGCTTGTTAGTGGCTTCGTTAAGATTTGAAGTTGCAGCGACGCATTAAAATATTTCATGGCGCTATCGATTATTTATATCGTTACTTGCGAGGATCCGTCGACGTAATGAGATTAATGCCGTATTCGTAGTCAGGCCTTATATTTAAGACCTCCTTAAGTTCATCTTCAGATGCTCTACAGGTTATTTTATTGGTTATAGAGCATCTGAAAATGAACTTAAGAAGGCCTTAAATATAAGGCCTGACTATGAATACGGGCAATAGTTGCGCGACGCGCCGAAATATCTGAAGGAAGATTCATTCTGAATCGAGAATATGTGTATTATATTCAAATATGCGTGTATCTATTACTAACGTCTTTAATTCCGCGCTCTTAAGGCTGTTTGTCGTGGAAACTTTTCACAAAACGTCTCCCGTCCTTGGCTTTGAAAAGCTTCAAGTTCCCGCGCGAGTTAGCAGGAGAAAATTTGTCTGTCACCGGTTGAGCAGAAGTCTAATGCTCACGCGTCAGCCAGTTACGATAAATCCGTTTAGCCATATAGATCCGATTAGAGTAAGTAATTTTCTTTAACGAGACTAATCTAACGCAATTTAAAGTTATCTCCGCCTTTCTCACGGTCGATATCTTTTTCCGGATTAAACGTCGATGAAAATATACTTAACTGCGACGGCGAACGAAAGAGAGACGGCCACGGCTCTAATTGGTTCGTCACGTCTCGGCGTAAACTTGTTTGTGACGTCGTTAAAAGCCAATGAAAGCCTGCTTCGTTATCTCGAGAGTGGGAGATATGGCGTGCACTATGACTCTCTACGCAGAGTGAACCTCGGCTCATTCATTACGTGCAGCTGGTCTCTCCGCGCGTAACGCGGACGTCGCTAAATAGGAGCCTGTGGTAAATACTGTGGTATCGTGACTGTTATTACGCGGGTGTGCGACCTTTCGACAGATGATAACGCACAACGGATTGGTAGTCGGCCGTAATGATGCGCCTGATGAATGAGACTTAGCAGAGAAAACGCCAATCTCACGATTTGTGTCATTCGCATTCCGCGAGAAGAGACGTAATTAGACTTCGTTACCATTGAGAATGGTTGACGCTGGTGCTCCAAGTTTTCGCTCGAATTAGCTGCGGAATCTCGGTAGAACGTTCGTACTTCTCTGTATAGGCTGCGCTTTGATATTCACTGCCAGTATTGCGAATGTGATGTCGTCGCAGTGTAAGTACGCTGACACAAGTGTTCCGTTTTCACGAGTATACCGTCGATTTACTGCGAATGAAGAAAACAGAATGAAGCAATGAGCAGCAGCTGGCAACATCACGTGGTATCGTGTGCATAACCAAATTTTTACCGAGTTTGGGTATCGCTAATAACTCATATAGAAATAGCGACATATGGAAAAAACTACAATTGTCATCAATATTACACCAATATATCTTATAGTAGAGTCGAGCATTCATTTTACGCTCTATCATCTTTTGTATCCATAAGTCTGTTGTCTTTAACTAAACTACCTGAACTAGTGCAATAAATTAGAATGAAACAAGATATATTTGTCTGGCTCTAACTTATTAAACATTATTTAACAGTTAAAGAGAAAATCTTATAAGATACAACTCTTTTCCATGAGCGCCGCGACATTTTTGCTGCGAATGCCTCACCTCGCGAGCGTAGAGTAGGATGTGAACCGATGGAAACATATGAGAAAGTCGTATGAACGCGGAAATGCTTTGAAAAGCTTACTGCTGCGTATGTCGTCACGGACTGCTGCCAGTGTTGTCAATGAACACCGAAATGTAGCCACAGTCATCAGAGTTTCTCGTACCATATGTCCGGCTGTCAACACGAACGAAATACTACATCCACGCGACTCTTCCTCCCAAAGCTAACGACGTGGTTGAAATACTTTTTTCTCTTAATTATTCCATAGCCCGGCGGCTCGTTGCATTTCGTGACGATAAACATTATTAACGCGCGGCACTCGTCGCGACAACGTTATTAGAATGAGCACGCGTGCGCGCGTAGAATATAAAAAATAGAAAAAAAATCAAAGGAAAAGGAGAGAAGAGAAAAAATTCCTCATAATTCTCGACTTTCCGGCTTTAAGCACGCTCGCCAGTGCCGGTGTCCTTAATTGCCGCCGTGTTTTATTACAGAGATATTATTTTCCCTTTCGCCATGGCCGACCCAGATTCCCGTGCGAAGCCGGCGCACGGTCTGCAGCAGTGGAGCTGCGACTTCATAAGGCGGGAACTGATACCGGAGATGGTCCACGATCGTTGCTTCTGCGAGCCCGACTCCAGGGAATTCGTCGAGTTCGATTCCGCAGACGTGGAGCCTTTCGATGGGAGCGACCGCGGCACGTCCTGCGAGCTGTACCGTGCGACGGCGCACGTAAAATTCTCCGGTGAGACGTGCAGCTTTCCCCTCATTGTCAAGCTGCCGAAAAATTCCGCCGACTGTCAGCCGCCGTCCGGCCCGTTCCAGAACGAGGAGATGTTTTACAGCAAGATGACGCGCAAGTACGGCGCGGACGGTGTCCCGAAGTGTTACCTGTCTGACTTGGGTCGATACGGCCGGCCGGTCATCGTGTTGGAGGATCTCAGCGCACGGGGTTACGTGCGAGCGGATCGTAAATTGGACGAGGATCACCTGAAATTGTGCGTGAAAGCTCTGGCGACGTTCCACGCCAGGGGATTGGAGCTGAAGGCGAAGGAGTTCGCCATTTTCCGGGAGTTCTACGCGAAACTGTCGGACTCGTGTTCCGATTCTTTCGGGCGTTATCGCCGAAACGCCGCCAGGTAACGTTCACTTAGTTACGTCAGCGTACACCTTAAATCAACAACAATAAGACCACAAATTGTAGCCACGCAAACTTGAGATATTCGTGAGCAGTGAACGAATTGTCGTCGGTCGCCTTGTTTGCAGGATTTTGGACGTTTTGGAGTCGTTACCCGAGCCAGCGCTCGTCGGGAAAATCAGAAGAAAACTGAGCGAGAATCCCTTGGACGTAATGGAAGGCCTGGCCATGGAGATCAACGACGTCTCGACCGTCTGCCACGGTCGTTTCTCGCGGGATAACGTGTTGTTCAGATACGAGGGTGGGAAGCCGAGCGACGTAAGGGTGATCGATTGGCAAACAATGAGGTACTGCTCGCCAGCGATCGATCTGGGCCTCGTTCTCCTCGCCAATCTGCCTGACGACGAACTAGCAAAAGTTGGGTTGTTCTGCCGGAATATTTTGCGGTTTTATTTAGACGTCGTGAAATGCGAATATTCAGAGGTGGCCTGCGATCTTCTGCAACGAGACATCATCGTCAAGCTGTTATCTGCATTTGTAGTCTTGTGCACTGATGAGACCGTCACGGATGGCGAAATGCTGGCGATGTTACGAGTTCTCGATAATCTGGGTACTTTCGATTAGAACCGCTTACACTGTGTTTTGGCACCTATTTCATCCTTCTTTTACTGCGCATACGATGAGAATATTGTAATAAAAATTATAATACAATTTTAATATTACGGGAATAGACTGGCACTATGAATAAAAGTGACTATGAATATAAATTACCATAAATGAAATTATAATGAGATTTTAATGAAATGCTACAAAATTATTATGTTTATGGTCATTTTTATTATGTTTTGTTATCATTTTCGTTATCATTTTGTTATCATTTTCGTAATATAGCGCCAGTCTCTATTCCTGGACTACTCTAAAATTGTATTCTAATTTTTAATACAATATTCTCTCCGTATACAATACTTATTATACGTGTTGAGTCTTTTCTTGACCCTTATCGTGTGTTTATTCGCGATACGACGACTGAAGGAGACATAATTATTGGCATTTGAACCAAACGTACTTGAAGAGTCGCACTGTTGGGAAATGACGTGTCGCCGATGCAAGGAACATCGTGCATTCTCTATGCTCGAACTCTTGGAGAACAAAATATTATTAGAGAACATAGACGCGTTTTTCATTCTTGCAACCTTTATTTCACTCGCTCACGCGAGTGGCAGAATCGTTGTTCGTGATTGTCAAGGAGTGCGGACTAACCGCGCCGTAAACGGGCGTTATTAGTATTGTTCTTTCGAGCGTAATGGCATAAATTAACGTTGCAGTGTGTGCGACGTTATAAAAGCTTCGTTTCCTCTCCTCGTCTCTCGGCTCTTCCCTTTAGATAGCTCATTACATTTATACGGTCGAGATTGGTTTGCTTTCCTTCTTCTCTTTTTTCTTTTTTTTTTAAACAAGACATATGTACCGTGCGCTGCAGCTGCTGCTACTGCAATATATAGCGTCGCTGTTGCACGATGAAATGCAGTATGGTTTTGCTACTTGGAAATGCAACTCCATATTGTTGCTTCGGATTACGTTGCTCTCGACGCTGATTACCTAGTTTTATATTTTTAGATTTATATTCGCCGTCCATTCTCTTCCTGTTATAATCTGCGTTATGAATTCCTCAAAATCTCTATTAGGATAATTGCGAGATATAGAATACGCGGCTTTTGGAATAAACGACTGTGCGAAGAAACGCGGTGGAAGAGAGAAAAAGAGACGCAGAGAAATGGCGACACGTTTTTGTTGAAGCAGCGTTTTCGATTACAGTCACAAGGTGGTTACACTTACAAGCAGTTCGTAATGGCCAGCGTAATAGAATATTGACGACAGCCCGAACATAAAATGTCGCTTGAGAAAAATCGTAGCATCTACATTTCCTCGATAAATAATCACTAGTGCTCAGAAAAAGATTATTACGCTAAGGAGATCTCAACGATCGAGCGGCTCCCCTCAGGTATGTGTAATTCTCCGTCTCGAAATTATCCTGCATATTTTTGTTCTCAACGAAATTATGGAATTGTCGAGCAATGTTACCGTGGCTTCTCCGTTCACCGCGGCACGGTACTTCTAGAAGATTGCGGTTGAGTTCTCATTGGTCGACGTAAGGGATCCGTTTGCTGATGCGGTATGGATACCCAATATATAGCGGCCAACAAAAAGATCAGAATGAAGGCAGAAACGAACATCCGTCTTACTCCACAAGTGGACTTCACTGCGGCCGTTATGATGGGAGCGCATGCCGACAGGACTTCCTTTGATGGAGCACATTCCTGCACTCTCGCCACTGCACCATGGTTGCCGTTGCACTGGCAATGCGTCTTCGTCGATTCCCAGCCCATTCGGAATTTGGTAATTTCAAGGTTTTCGTGCCGAAAAATGTGCCACGGCCAGATTAAAAATTGTAATTGAAGCCGGATCAGTCTGCCCCGGACATGTTAGCGAGCGACATCAGATCGTCTAGCTTTCTACACAGATCGTTTATCGATTATGCGCGTATACGATAATCGATAAGCGAGTTTGAAGCTTACTTCATAGCTGTATTACAAATTTAAAAGACAAACAAAGAATTTTTTAAGCGGATACTGAAGTGGACGAAGAACTCCGATGAAAAAACACTTTCATTTAGGTGAGAACCGAAATTATCAATTTTATGCGTATATATAGATTTTTTAAATAGATGCAAAAATGAATTGAAGCATTACCCAGTATATTTTTATTTCTTTTTTCGTATATTGCACAATAAAATCCTATGCGAAATTTAATCGACTCACTTCATCAATAGTAGTACCACTCAACGGCAAATCAGTAGTCTCTTTTTCCCGTTTTCACAAAGAGATAGATATAACATTCTCGAAAGAGTCGATAAACGCCGAAAAAGATCTGGCGATCGCCGTCGAAGCAAAAGGATACTTTGAGAGCGAAAGTTTTAAATCTGAATTATTCAAACGTATAGCGTGTAAAAGTGTTAACGAAAAAGTCACGTTGCCGTGTTCCCCGGCAAGTCGCAACGCGACTTTCCGTTTTGCCGTCGGTCGATCTACTTTATTAATGAGCCCGCGTGCGAACAAATACAAATGAGACTATTCCCATGCGCGATGTTACCGCTGCGTCAGGTGAATATATTTGGAGGTGACCGCGCGTTGCTCAGAGAGACAGAGAGAGAGAGAGAGAGAGATTCGCGACGGCTCGGAGAATCGTCCGTTGCAGAAACGGATAGAGTCAGAAGTTGGGAATTATGTACATAGTTGACGACCCCCTTACGGCTTTGGCGTTTGTCTATCTCGGTGCTGCGGAACAGATGTTTGCGGCATGTTGATCGCGGTCTCGGCGCGCATATACGTATAGAACACACCGGTGCTTCTTACGCAGGCATAATACATTTGGCTGCGTTTATGTTCTCGCCTGAACAACTTGCCAGGTATATGCTGGCGCTTCAGTTTCACAACCCGCCGAATTTAGGGTTTAGATCGTTTGCTTTGTCGGCACTGACAGACAAACTGCGCACGACGCGTTTATCTTCAATACTATCACTTCTTGCCTTTGCGCGCTTTTTCTCTCTTTGTTTCTTTCTTTCTTTCTCTTTCCCCCCTCTTTCTCTTTGATCGATCTAATTAATAAGCTAAACTTGAGGTTGCATTGAGCAACAAATGCTTATACTGGATACATAGTTAGCATTAGAAGGGATGAATACATATTACTCTCCTTACTACAAAGATCTGCAATGGCTTCCACTATGTATGAGGTGCAAATATTTTGTGAACTACCTTACATATTGCATCACTCGAGAGAGTCCAAACCAGAACTCTCGTTCAGGAAATTCTTTTCTCGCAGTGCAGTCTCTGTTAGAGACACGAGGGTTGCATCGGATCTTCATGTTGGTGCCTTAGAGTCGTACAGAACAATATCAACATAAGTACCGCCACTAGACACCGTAATGGCCTTCCTGATGGTTTAAAAACAGCCAGATTCTTTAGATATCTTCAAGTCTGGTCTTTATGACTTTTTGTTAGAAGCTTTCGAAATATGAGCTTTGTGTTTATTGATTTGACTAAAGTGGATATAAACATAATTGGATGGATCAGGACATAAAGACTTAATGAAATTGTCACACACGCGCTGTGACTAAATAGGTTATTTTCTTATTATTGTATTATTATTCTTATTTGTATATTGCATTACAACTTACAATTTGAATAGTATATATGTTTTTTTATCGAATTTATATTGTATTTTTGTTGACTGATGAGGAGACATCCCAGAGCGTTTAATAAATAAATAAATCTCTTTCTCTCTTGTTACAATTAACTTTTGTTTAACGAAACTCTGTATATTGATTAGCGTAACTGTAGATTTTTCCTGTGAAGCACTCGCGCGATAACAATTCGAATTTAATACCGCTTCTAAAATGGAACTGTATCGTGCGGGCGCGATTTTGTGCCATTGTAATTTTAAACTGTTCTATTCGGGCGGCAATAACAAACTCCAAATTGGATCGTTATTTTATGTAGGACCAAAAGAGGTTTTTTCTAGGCGTGATAAAAGGTTCAGGACGATTATCTTACAATCACACTCCTCGCTGTTTAAGTCGTCGAAAATTTATGTCGCTTAAAGCTATGGAGTTACTTAGCGAGAGAAAACGGAACGCACGTACTGAGCGTTCTCGCGTTCTCGCGTAACACGCCGTTCTTTCACGACGTCTTATTTTCGGAACTCCCTTAGCATTAAGGAGCCAGTAAAAACAGCCTGTAAGAGTGAAGACTCACTTGACGGTCGACAGTGACGTCCCGAGATTGGACCACCGGCAACGTGGTCGACGGCACGATCTCGTCTACTATTCTTCTCGCCACGGTTTCCCTCAATTTCTGCGTGCAGGGCGCGAAAACGCGCTCGCACCCTCAGCTTCCTCAGGAGAGCCGCGCGCGCTTCATAATGAAACAGTCTCCGCGGGAGGTAGGCGTTTTAATATTGCAGATAGGTATTAGCTATCTGTGTTGAGAGAGAAAAGAGGAGGGGGGGGGGGAATTAGCATTCATGAAAGTTTTATCAGCGTATGGGAATTTGATAATTTCGAGCGGACCTCGCGATTTTCGTTGACGCGAGACTGAAGCGCGTGAAAATGCAGAAGCATCCGCGACGCAACCGCCTCGATAGCCGGTAACCAACGTCGTCTGCGAAGATTCCGGCGGAAAACTTCACCGAATCGTTAATCCCGGAAGACACCTCCATCACGCTTTCGAAATATATATGACTGACGGCATGAATGCACGGGCGCGACCGGGCAAAGTTATTATATCCGGCATATTTCGGCGTGGAATGCCGCTCGAAAAATTTCCAAAAGCCCGCGCGTATTCCTCACCCTTGGCCCACTAAATTTTTCACGCTTGCATACCGACATTATGCCCGGGCCCGGCATTCTTCGCGGTCGAATGCACTGACATGAACGCGCTTACGTGAAGGATGGTCGTGGGCTTTACGACGGCCACGGATATTTCGATAGCACGTCGTTCATCTCTTGTCGCGTCGTATACGCAACAGAATTGTGTGTAGCACCAGAAATCTAGAATTCTAATAAAAAAATATAAAAATCGCGACAGTCAAAAAATCTATAAAATACTATTAGTTGTCTCGAATAAAATGTTAGCGTTTCAATGATTTCTAATAGTTCTAAAATTATTTTGGCCTGTGAAAAAGCGTCTTTTTACTTTTATTTGCTTATAATAATTCAGCAATTAAATATTTGAATCATTTTTTACTTATTTTTAGTTTCTTATTTTTATAAAAGAGAGAGTGTGTAGTAATAATATAATTTCGACTATAGTCACCGATAAGTTAGTTAAAATGACGAAAAATGAAGAAAAGATAGTTGGGACGCTAGCATGGCTCAAAAGGCTAAAGGGTCGGCCAGAAGTTGTGGACTTCTATCGGGATGCGTATGCGAGAAAAACGCGTTCGTTCGGGCTCGTTACTGTGAACGAGCTATATCGTCGCGCGACGCATTGCATTATACGCGGTGTTAAAATCGCCGTTATCGTTTTACAGAATTTACGCGCTCGGCGAACGCGGGCGTGCTGTGCGACCGTAACAAGGGAGTCTCGGGTTTCTCGCGAGGAGCGGAGAGAGCAGAGGGTGGCGGTTGCTCGGGGGGAAAGGATGGGAAACGTTGCATGCCTAATCAGACAACGACGGCAGACAGTGCTTTATGCGTTCGCTCCATCTGCAGATTTCCGTTTAATAACGTCATCTGTATGCAGAAGTACATTATCTTTAGCCGTCTCTTATCCGCCCCGTCCTACTGAAGGATACCCGCGCATTTGTGCGGCTTCTTTCCCCGTGACATGGCCGCGCCGGCTTGTTTAACGCGCTCGTTAAAGCGACTACTGTGCGCTACTTTCGACGATTGATCTTCGAGTCTCGTCGAGCCAACCTTCGTGGTACGCGAATCGCTGCTACGCGGTGTCCTCAAAGGAAGAAAGGATACGTAGGAGAGTAAAGGAATGAACGAATGAATGAACGAACGCACGAACAAACGAACGAACGAACTTTAGACAAGAATGCAAGCTTTACCTTTCTCTGTGTGCTCCCCTTGTGTATGAAAAATTTATACCACGTTGGCCGGCACGAGATAATTAATTTATGCGCAAAGAGAAACGCATTTCAGAGTACACTCTGAAACTGAGCTTGTAACATTTGTGGTTCACTGCAATTTCCTCCCTTTTTCTTTTTTCGCGTTTTCTTGTGTAATCTTGTTAAATTGAACGAAGCTCTGTGTAACAGATTAATGCCCGTGATAACTCCTCCGGCACGTCCATTTTTCTTTGTGTTGAATTTTAAATAAAGTTAGCTAAGTACTCTCTACCGAAGAAAGTTCCTAGCCGGCATGATATCGACTATGGTTGGCGACCACGGGTCTTAATGTCTACACAGACGAGCTTAATCTGGGTCTTAACCCTTACCTGGTCTTGTCAAAATATGTACGTCGGGGTAGCTCCACGATCTTAATCCGATGGTTATCCGGCGCCAGTAATTTGCGCGAATTGATTGTCGCTGTGCGACGAAACTCGCGCTTGTCCCCACAGTGGATCTTTCATTACGCGTAACGATCGACGCACTGTAATATCGTAGTATCGCATTGTAATCAACATAAAATATTATTAGCAACATCAAACGGCAATAAGTCTATAATTAAAGTGTACTAAGATATATAAGGAAAATTTGTGCGGAGAAAATTACCTTTGATAACGGGCTTCGGAATAACTGAACCGGAAGTAATACGTGATACAAACCCGTCGCGGTGTCTCGGTGGTGACAGCTATTTGCGCTAACGATAATTGTAATGTAATAACACGATTTTACGAGTGAAAATCATTATCATGATTGTACAGCAGAGTGAAATGGAATAACGCTCGAACAGAGCACAAAGAAAAAATGTTTATGTCGTGTGTGCGAAAGTCATTCGAGTCTGGTGGCGACTCGGCGCGGCACCGCACCGCAGTTTTACTTCCTCCTGCACCGCGATCGACAGGAGCCGCGACAGGAGTCCGCCATCGATTAACACGCGAGATCGCGGCTCAGCCGCGCTTCTCTGGTCCATCCGTGTTCGTGTGACGAGTAAGCGACCGACAAGTGAGTGTCTGGAACAATGGAGCAGTCAACGGTCAATGGAGAGTCACAGTGAACAGTGATGAACAGCGATGAACAGTGTCGATAGCGTATTCGTGGTGAGTGATTCGGCTATTATCAGTTTCGGCTGTCATTCATCTACTCGCACCGCTTCTTGTTCATTCAGACGCAATCTTGCTTCTCGAATATATCGCACTAATGTGTATCAGACCTGTCGTTTAATTGCAGTTTCTTTACTCGAGATGCGATATGCATGTATCAAAGCTTAGAAGGAGAGAAACGGAGGGAATGTAAAAAGTGCTTGAAGTGTTGGAAGTGCAATTTACATGGCGCAAAGTGCAAAGATACGAATGACGCCGCGGTAAGTTTACCGATACGCCGCATTTTTCCTACGCGGAGTCTCAGTGCGCATGCGTTGAAGCTTCTGATTGGCTGAGACGCGCTTACGTATGCGTACCAGGCTCCCGCGTAAGAAAATTTACGTGAACGCGATGTGGAGTAATGGATTGTTGTTTGTTGTAATTAGCTCGCGGAATCGTGATTAACCGTGCTTCTCCGGTGGATTCGTGCAACGAATTATCCATGAGGTGGTGTTGAGGAGGCGAGCAATAAGTGACCGAACAGACGAGTGTCTCTGCAGTCGATAAGAAGTCAGATGAATTGACGGCGTCGATAGAAAACTGAACCGGTGAGTGATACACCTGTTAATTTCCATTTCCGAGTGTCAGTTTACGTCCTGACATAAACTTACTCGTGCATAATATCGTGCTCAAGTGATAGTCAAAGACTATCTGACAGCAGGTGAGCATCCCCTCGAAGTTGACGGGAAAGAACAAGTAAATCGACGATAGTGTCAGTAGTGAATCGACGACGACCAAAACTGTACGTAATACGTGAATAATACAACTATTACTAACTTTCATTTCTGAACATCTATTATATTTTAACATAATCTTAATCATGCGTAACATCATGGCAAAGTGATAACTATTAGAGATCTGTTCTTTTCTTCTGTATCGCTGCATTAGAATAACTAGAAAGAAAATATACTTCCTTTGATATATGGCTCGAGGCATGCAGATATCCCAGAAAGTATAGAGTGAAATAAAATATATTTATTTTGATTCTAACTTATTGTACCAGTGTGCATTAGTTCAGGCAATTTAGCTAAAAAGAATAGATCTAATAACTGTATCTGATAGTAGGTGAGGATTCCCTGAGAGGTGACACGAAGAACAGATAAATTGGCCATTGACAACCCAGACAGCACACATGTCCAAAACTGGGACATAAGATGTCTTTAAGATATCTTTAAGTTGACTTTAAGACGTCTGGACATGAGATGTCTTTAAGTTGTCTTAAAGATGTCTTAAAGATGTCTTAAAGACATCTTATGTCCCAGTTTTGGGCATTGTGTTGTTTGGGAATGGTATCGGTAGTCAACGATGAATTGAACTACATCAATGATAAACTGTGATATGTGAGTGATATGACTATTACTTAACCTTTATTTCCGAGCGTCTATTTATGTCGCATTTTGATATAAATTTATTCGTACATAACATGTAAAGTGATAGTCAATAACTGTGTTTGATAACAGGTGAGCATTTCTTCAGAGGTGACACGAGAGAATAGATGAATTGGCCATTGACAATGGTATCGGTAGTATCAGTGATTAGAGTCAACGATTAATTGGCACTACATCGAAGACGAACCGTGATATGTGAGTGATATGATTATTGACTTTTATTTCTGAGTGTCTATGTCGCGTTCTAATTTAACTTTACTCATGCATGAAATGCCAAAGTGATAGTCAATGATTGTATTTGACAACAGGTGAGCATTCCCTGAGAGATGATACGCAAGAACAAGTGAGTCGACAATGATACCAGTGGATGAATCGGCGCTACATCGACGACAAACGAGTGAGTGATACTGCTGTTACATACGCTACGTTCGTTTTCGATGTTTTCGTGCTGAAAGCACCGCTCTATCTTGCTTTGGCAGTGTAACGAGCAATGAAGATAGAACGATGCAATCAGCACGAAAGCGTTCAAAGCGTAAACGCAGCCTCAATCTCGGTTTTCATGCGTCTGTTTACGTTGAGTCCTGACATAACCTTATTTGTTCAAAATATTATACCTTTGACTATAGGCTTGTTTTTTTTTCAAAAAACTTTCTGAACTAGTGCAATAAGTTAAAGTGAAATAATATATATTTGTCATGTGCTAATTGCATTAGTTCAGAGAGTTTTTCGAAAAAGAACAGACTTAAGGAAGAATTTACATCTTGTGAGAAAAACAGAAAGGCAGAAGTCAATCAGAACTGATACTGATACTGAGTCGATAGTTGTAGTCGATAGTTTTTTTGTGAGTTCTGAAAAGTTTCTGTCTTTCTGTTTTCTGCTTTTCTATCAAGGTGCGAATTCTTCCTCATATAATCATACTAATGACGATTTTAGACGTCTGTCAATATCTGTAGCGATCCAGGGCTAACGAAGAGCTATTATCTCAACTATCATCGTATTTTCCTTGTTTTACCTATTTGAATTTTTCTACTAGGTCGTTTTATTCGTAATCATGAATTGTAATATTATAATATATGAAAAGTGTACTTTTTAATATTATTTATTGTTGAAATAGTTTTATATAGACTGTCATAAAAATATTCTGCAATTTATTTATAAAAAATTTTACAAACATTAGATTATTTTGTTTACAGTGGTTTTGTGAATCTATATATAATGACAAAAGAATCAACTATTTGAGTAATAATAATAACAACAACAATAATAATAATAGTAATAATAATATTTGAGTAACTATTTGAGTATATAATATAATATCTAGTACATTCTTTTATATATATCTTAATGATGTTACAATTTAGGATTATGAACAAAACAACCTTCAAATGGCTAAAATAGGAGTAAAAGTGCGATGATAGCTTAGATAATAGTCGTTGTTTGTTTGAGGCAGTGCTATAGATGTTGACCGACGTTTTATTGTAGAGAAAGGCGACCAACAGTCTATGGTCTATATAGATAAAGATGTTAGCGTAAACACGTATATTTAAAGAGGTGTGTATGATTACGCAATAAACTTGGCATAAATTGGAATAATAAATAAAAATAAAAATAATTTCATTTACATTTACATGTCCCTACACTTTAACTCCCTTTTACACTGGATGTATTTCTCCCGAGTAAGAGAAATACTTTTGGCGTGAAGGGGCTGGAATATAGGGGCGCGCGCGTGAGCGAAATAAGTTCTTTTTATTTCTTACTCCAATTTACACTAGTTCTCCTTATCTCTTTGCTTATCGTGGGCGAGCCTGAAGAAGTAAATATGCGGAAGCAATGTCGCAAATCAGTGAAGAAATCCGTAGATAAACGTAAAGTACCGGGGGGATTCGTAATCGCAGCACATCCTGTACACGCGCGACTACGCGATCTTTCGCGTCTAACGTGCCACTAAACTTAACGGCAAGTCGTTTCTTGATGCTTTTGCGCTTAACGAAATCTGCGAACTTTAGAGCGGCGTTGCTACGCGTCGAGTGAAATTTACACACCGTTAACCTTTCGCGTATATATGCTGCCTCTTCTTCATGCGATCGCATCTGAGACAGGCGACGGCGTACGATCGTCGTCTTGTTGGGAATTCGACGCGATTCCTGCGCGATGAGCCATCATCGTCGCTCAAGATCTTCGCACGTGCATAACGCCGTGCACAACGCCGTGCACATACTTATCCTCTTGAGACTCGCGATGTTTTCGCTTTATCTTTCCTCCATCGAAATACTCTTCGCGAGACCGTTGTGAGCGCGCTGACTGTCTCATTTCATTGAGGAAATATCACGATGTCACGCTAATGTAACGCAATTAAGGTGAAAGTATCAAATGTTTGGACACTGATAGACAGATAGATATTCATTACTTCAGCTACATTGCAAAGAAAGGAGAATTTGGTTCACAAAATATTATCTTAATTCACTCGTCCACATCTTATATTAAACTTTATATTCCTTTTTTTTACTATATTCTTATCCTAATATCACAGCAGTTATAGTCAGTATATTTCACAATTCAAACTTCCACTCTTTCACCTATTATTATTACCCATTTCTCACACATATTATATTATACAATATATACACATATATTATACACATACACATATATTATACACTATAACTACATATACATACATATACATACATTATACACTATACATATATTATACACTATCATCATTACATTATACATACATCATACATATATTATACAGTTATCATTACATTATACAATCTACTTTATCTTATTCCAACTTACATATCTACTATCACAACATTTTTTATTGCTACTTCATGACTTCTTTCATACATCTTCGTCATAATTTACTCTTTTTAATATCCTATACATTCGTATTTTTATTTCTATTTTTCTTTTTTCTCTTTAATCTCCCTCTAATAACATTTATACATGATTCTGGATGTTCTTATTGTTTTGGTTTTTAAACACGAATATTTAAACTTTCAACATAGAATATATATATATATATATATATATATATATACATACATACATACATATTTATTTATTCATTTTATATTAATAGTTTAAATTCGTTTAAATTTAAAGACCAAAAAATTAAGAATGTCCAGAGTTAGATATCAGTATTTTAGTGTTCAGATATTGGTACTTTAGCAATACGTAATCGGAGCGCAACTGACGTGTAAAATTTACTCTGGAAAATGGAATGTTTTTGCGAGCGGTTTATCCATCGATAGCACGTTCAGGGAGCTGGATTCTTTCGAAAGCGACCTCTTGACCTCCTTCGATACTCATCGGAAAATAGAGACTACCAAAGGATCGCTTGCGATATTTTGGACATTGAGTAATGACGCTTTGACAAATGCAACGCGCGCGCGCTTTAATCCGCGACGCGCCCAGAGTCGTCGGATTCGTATTCCACGCGCGACTTAATCGATAAATTATCGAGGGATTCATAGGACCCCGTAGCCGTTTTGCGACTCGCGTAATTCACCGATTGCTGCGCCGGTGCCGTCGCTAGAATGCATAAAAAACCTCCGACGCGACAGCCACTCGGCGCGATTATATACGGCACACCTGCGATTTGTTTCCCGTTTAATGCAACGCGCTTTGCCTCGATAACGCAACGGGAATTTTCGGCCGGCACGATCATACGCCTATAAACGGGAGAATCGCCGACCGCGTTGGGGCCGCGAGCGGGCGGCCAGAAAGGAGGGAGGGAGAGAAGGAGGGATGGGAGAACACACGGTAATTCGTCTCGTATGAATTGATATTGGTTAGCTCTGTCACGTGCTATATGTGTCACGGGATATTTGTAAATTTAGTCCTTTTATAAAAAAACGAAGTCCGATCTTTTTATAAAACACCGTTTTTTATGCCGGGGTAGCGTTTTATAAAAAGACTAAGCTTTTTATAAAACGGCTGAATTTATACAGATCCCATAATATACATACGGCAAATACCTGTTTACAGCGGCGTTTACCTCGACTTCTTTCACTCGTGTTACAATTCGAAGAGAAAAACAGTTAAATCGAATTAATGCGCGATAAAGTAAGGTAAAGGTACCAATGTCCGGAAATGCAATCCTAGACATTCTTATTGTTTTGGTCTTAAAATATAAATATTTATACTTTTAACCTAAAATATATATACAGATATTGAGTACGTACATACATTCATGTTTATATGTTAAAGGTTTATATGTTAAGGTTTAAATATTCGTATTTAAATAACAAGAATGTTTAGGATTAGGTACATGTCCGGAAATTGATACTTTTACCTTACTGATCGACCGATCGGAATGAACAATTGCGAAACGCGTTAACATCGATTCGATCGTTTATTCAGTGCCGATAAGTAAGGACAGTTATGTGTGCGGACAGAGTATGGGGAGTTGTACCTTGTGTATTAATTTGCAAGTCCCGTCAAATTTGTTATACGCTAAACGGGGCTTCGGCAGCGTTATGTGCTCATATCCGCATCCTTTGATACGCGCTATTTACACCGTGGCGACACGCAAATATCGGCATCGCTATTCCTATTTGCTCTCCGTTTGTCAATCTGCGCGAACGATGGACCATTACGTGCATCGGTTACGGCCGGCCTATTAATTGCTCAGGAATCAAATTACGGTGCGATAGCTCGTGAACAGTATAAACAGATTTCTCATTAATCCGATTTTAAGGATGTCTGACGTAATACCGATGTTTTATCGTCGATTCTCCCGCGCGTCGCGGCGTTACTCCGTAACGTTGCTTGGAGAGAGAGAGAGATTATTTTGTTCTACGAACAACGTACACAACGTAGCGAGAACACTATCCTGTTATTCGACGATTTAACCCTTTGAGCCATAATGGAAGATCTTCCTTTTCTTCATTTTTGTGATTTTAACGGACTTATCGGCAAACATAGTCGATTATATTATTACTGTACACTCTCTTACACACAAGGAGTTGGAAATAAGTAAAAAATAATTTTAATGTTTATTTGTTAAATTATTGTAAGCAAATAAAAGTGGAAAAAAGGCATTTTTTCAGAGGAAAATTATTTTGAAGCTAACTATCAGAAATTGACACATCGAAATGTTAATAGTTTATTAAGAACAATAGTATTTTACACATTTTTATCAAAATTTTCTATAAACTCTATTTTTTACAACAAACTATTGAAATATTAATGATGTATTTGCTGCAAGTTTCTTGTCGAAACATCTCTGTTCATATCGAGGAAATATTTCGTTATTTTCGGATAAAAATCGAGATTGCTAATTTTGAAAATTTGTGGTTGCTATATTGGACTCGCTTCATTTTGAGTCATAACTTTTCTCTCTGAAATTCGTAATCATTGAGCCCGAAGTCCCACGTAAGTCCCGCCAAAATTTGAAGGAACTTTTTTTCAGAAATAAAACATACGGCTCAAAAGGTTAAAATATTCTCGTAGCGCGTGCAAATAATTAATAGTTCGGTTTAATGAATATCTCGCGCAACGTCTACGCTCCGTACACAGAGAGGCGATCGGCGCTCTCGTCTCATACGTGTAAACAATTAATTACACAGGGTGTTTAAGATGCATTGAAAAAATGGCTCAAAGTGCAGACATTTCTTTTTTCGCTCGCTCTGACACATCGCATGTAATTAATTGTTGCGCGCGAGATGAGCGACGATTAATTCTACATGAAATATAGATTCTACGACAGAAGCGAGAGAAGCTCTCTTCTTTTGTCCCGACGACGCGAAAGTCTAATAAATTAAAGGCCATGCCGATCGCTCTTCTCATCCATGACTTAGAGCGGGTCAAATTCTTCCGCTATATCGGCCGCGCGGGCGGTGCCGAACACGACTAATTTGAAAATAGAAATGACACCCACAACTGCGTTCCAGTCAGCCGAAGGAATCCCTTTATTACATAGCGCGCCGTAGAGTATTGCGCGGCGTGGAATGTCCGCCTTTTTAGCGATAATGACGATGCTCCGGATACCGGATGTCGACGGCGAAGGCAGCCGTTTAGTTCACCAAGACGACCGCGCCGTCGACGTAATTCATGGAGATTTATCGACGGATCTTCCCCGCCGCGCGCGAACGTTTAATGAAGAAATGATGCGCGGCCCGAAGAGTCGGTTTACCGCGTTCCGCGCTAATCTCTGAGTGGCCATAATCGGCCGTAATGTATCTCCCACACATTATCTCTCCTATACGCGTGGAATTCGCGCAAACAGCTCGTATGTCGGATTATCGTTGACTATTTGCCGCCGTGTGCAAGTAACCAAAAAGAACCCCCTTCGCGCCGTGACACGATGCATTCGATAATCACTCGTGAACGCCTCGAGATTTTTCGTCAGCTTTCTTGCTGTTTCTCCTCGTGCCGTTGCTCGAGAAATGTTCATTCCGACGCATGGAATCGTTGCTTACGACTCCCTATTGAATTTTCCGCTCGACATTGATTTTACAGATTTCATCGGACTTGAAACATCGAAAGTGTCGAAGTAGACGTAGCAAAGATATGACGTAGTAATATGTCAGCTGTACCTCCGTGACTCGAACTTGATCTAATCATTTCGCTGTCATCGCTACCCGAGATTTAGCTATATAGTAAAATGTATTTTTGCCGTTAGATATAAATTTATTCGTCAAAATGAAGAGCTCATGCTCATTGCTTATCGAGTAGAGCTAAGAAAGTGGCAGTTGTTACATAAATATCTAATACGCGTGAATCTCGAATTTTCAACTCTCGAAGGAATTAATTTTACAGAACTTGTGTCACCGTATCGCGCGCATTAACTATTTTCCTCGTTTCATTAATATTTCAATAATTACCGTGGCAAAATGGCACAGAATTTTTTAATTGAACCTATATAATTAATGTAAAACGACAAATTTTGTGTCTCTTCGCAATCTCTTTATTATATATTTTTTCATTGACCCTGGAAATATATACAGCATGTCTGACACACACAATGCGTATTAATACTCGTGTGCGAATAGAGCTTCATAAATTGAACAAAATAGTCCTTCATCATTTTGCAAACAACGACGACAATTATTTCTTTACTTCGATCCATAGTAATCATGTTAATCTCGTCAATGTTACGATAGACGAGACTGAGAAAAAAAAATATGAATAATTTAATCATGAACGAAAGAGACTGCGTGTTATCGTGTTTGCTTTGCTTTTATATATTTTTTTAATCGATTACAACGCTCAACTCCTTCAAATAGGCAATAAAGGAGTGAATAGACGCATGTGAGAATGCGTGTCAAAGAGATTTTCTTCTAAATTAAAGATATCGAGAGCCTATAAGAACAAGCGCTAGGAGGAAGTGCGCAGAGAAATAATATATAATTTATTTTACAATCATACAGTATAGCAATGCTATTATATTTACGTTAAAGTAAGGTGATCAGATTTCCCAGCCCTGAATTCGGGACACTTCATAAATGTGTGAAGCGGGGAGAGAGGAATAAAAAGATCCGAAAATTATTTGACAATCATTGAAAATGATGACAAATCGGTGTTCCGAATAGCACTCGAAAAAATTTGGGACAAAGGGTGAAAAATCGGGATGTCTAGTTACCTTTCCTAGTCCTACAGTCGTCGCATGGGATCTTTAAGAGAATATTATATCTAAGATAGTCTTTTCTTATATTTTATGAACCCAAAAACCTAATTAAACAAAGAAAATATTTAAGTTCTCAAATAAAAAATATAAATAATTTTTTGTATTGGTATCTCTCAAGATCCCATGCGTCGACTCGTGTTCGAAAAGTAGCGCGACGACTGTAAGGTTAAGTTTATATAAATAAGACTTTTATTAAGATTTCTTTTTTCTATTTCACTCGCTATGTCGACTTGTTCGTGAATAATAGCGGCATCGATATTGACTTTCGGCTCGAAATTTGCCTTAACTCGACGCTGAGCCAGACCTGCTATATGTGGGACTGAGTACGCGTAACTATAGTGTGTGCGGCGCAGGAACTCCAAGCGCTATAGTTCGTGACAGGCAGTCCACACGTACACAGTTCTTCGCTTGTGTGCGCTGCGCCGCACGTACTATAGTTACGCGTACTCGGTCCCACATGTGGCAGATCTACGCTGAGCACTTGCTCTCGCGCCGGCGCACCACGCTTCTAAAGCGAGGTGAACGACCGCATGGCTACAGCGAGTGCGCAACGGCTTACTCAGCCGCGGAGTGGGAGGGGGGGGTAAGAAGTGGGGGGAGCCATGCCGCGCAAGGTGACTTCCGCTAGTCACGTTCCGTTCACGCGTCGCGTCGCGTCGCGAGCTCGCAGCGATATCACGTCGCACGATCTACAACGCGGATCGATATAATCGTTAATATCTCTGCTTGTAGACGTCGTAGTGACTTAAAACAAGAAGCATTGGAAAGGGAAAATTACCGCGCCTCTGCTGAATGTGAAATCGTTCTCCCGTGGAATAAGGATCATACAACGGCATCATGTGAGTACGAAAAACATCAGTTTCTGTGTTTGCATTGAAGTGAATATTAATTGTTGATCTATGTTAAAAATCAAAGGGACATTTTAGTTTGGATTTATGACGCGCAGTTTATGTCAGTCTCATGTTTCTGGTCGGTATGAGTTGCAATTTACAAGACAAGCGGAATTATAATAATTATTTTCTGTTTCGTAGTAAATAATTTTTGCCGTAACGTCGAAGTACAAATAGCTAATAAATTTAACTTTGTTGGCAACAGCATTAATTTGTTCCCATTTCAATAATATATCTCAAGTGCCATAACTATGTTTTTTGCTTCTACTTGCTAATTTTTCTTCTGCGTATATAACATTATACACTTATTATTGTCTTTTGATTTTATACATGATCGTTTATTGCGTTTTCTATGTTAACGCTTATAGAAAGTTTTATTTCAGAATTATTTAATATGAGAGAAAACATCTGAAAAATAAAAAATATTTACTCGGTGGGTACTAATAACATATATACTATATAAATTTAAATTCTTTTGTTTAAATAGAATAAATAATTGTTAAATATTAAATAGAATAAATAATTGTTTAAATAGAATAAATGTTTTTAGTGAAAGACAATTGTTGCTTTTGGAAAACATTTTATTATTTGAAAGAAACTTTTTCATTATGTAAAAATAAGTATATCAGGTAACATGTTATTGCACATGTAACATGTTATATGCACCCATCGAATAAATATATATTTTTTTATATATTTTCTTCTCTCAATATATTTACATTTATGTGTTTTATTCTTCATTTTATTCAATAATTAATATGTTATGTCATTTCATAATTATATAATATATAGCTAAAAATGGGATTAATGGGTGAATAAAATAATAAACTTTATTTTTCATGATCTGTTTTATATATTATTATCTGTTATTATAATGTTTTTTACACGTTGGAAATTTTGATAAAAGCTGGGAATTTAAAACGGAGGAAAAGAAAAAGACAAGGAAGGAACAGAGATATTATAGAAATAAATTAATATACTTTCGAGTGATTTACATAGATTCTACATTTTGACTCAGAATATCTCCAATAAATATTATTGTCTGATAACTTGAATCGCTTTGTGGGCTTGAAATGTTTTGAAAATATTGATTGTTGTAATCTCGCGGCTGATTATTTTACTCTAGCGCGTTACGTACAAATTTATGGTAAAGTTAGTACGTCTCGAGCCGACAAGCGAAGCACATCGCGACACGGAGTTTGTGCATCAATATGTTAGTTATAATTCCCGTCGGATGATTAAAATATTAAGTTGGTTTTTGAGGCATTTAATCGGGCTGTCGTCGGCTTTGCGTTAGTTAATGTTTTTTTTTTTTTTTTCAATCGAATCGTTTTTACGTGAGTGTTAGTGTTTGTAAACTTCCGGAACAATGAAACAGTCGAGATGCTCGACATCGAGACGCGTGTAGCAATACATATTGTATCTTCAGGTGTGTAAAATTATTTATTTTACAAAATGTTCTCAATTTTAAAGAATGTTTGATAAATTTACTGTGAATAAGAAAATATCCGAGTCAAAATTCATAATCTATATCTTACAAATGCTGATTAATAATGCCTCTTGAGTCGTAAATTTGACCTTCAATTTATCAACGCTTTCTTTAAACTTCTTTTTGTCAGAAATGAAATTTAAATATCAGGTAGTATGTAATATTAATTGACCACATAACTGCTATTTTTACAATACTTGTTGAATTTTTAAATCCCAGACGAATTTTTAACGTGAATGAAAAGATAACGGACATATAACGAATAAATGACTGATAATATATAACGAGTGAATATAACGGATATAAGTAATAACTTTTGTTGCTTAATCCCGTTACGTATCCGTATTAATTATTTAATGTTTGTCGCACATATTCCATCTATTGATTGAGTTACATAATTAATATATTACTTATTGAAATTAAAACTGAACACAGGTAAAATCTCGAGATTATTATCGAGAATATTAAATAACAAACATCCATTTTCCAAAAATAATTGTAACACAAGATCTGCTGTTCTAGAGGCTCTTGCCTCTTAATACTACAGATGTTTACGTATTACTATTTTTTCTACGTTGAGACTTTACAAAGGACTTTCTAAAAGTTCATCTACAATGAGATTGGCAGTAGGACGTAAGCAGTAAGCAAATTGACCAATCACATTATTACAAAAATAATCGACTGTAGTTGGTCAATTGACTTATTGTTTATGTCTTACTGTCTATTGCCAATTTCATTGTAGATGGACATTTAAAAAGTCCTTTATGAAGTCTCAATGTAAAAAGAACAGTAGTACGTAAACATTTGTAGTATCAAGAGATAGAACGATACTCAGTGTAACATTATATTTTAAGATTCTCTATTTTTGTATCTTTGAAGTTCGACGAGATTTGCAGGGTTAATGTAGATAAAAAATTTCGATTCGCGGAATTCTTTACCGCACAACTCTCGAGTGTTTTGCGCCATGCGTCTCTACAATGAGAAAAAAAATTAAAAATTAACAAACATTTCTTAGGTAGGTGCCATTAACATATTTACTTAAATCAAAATTCTTTTTATTTAAACCAAGCATTGTTTACTTAAACCGAGTAAATAATACTCGGCTTAAATAAAAAAATTGATTTAAGTAAATATGTTGATAGTGTACCCACTTAAAAAATGTTTGTTAATTTTTAGATATTTTTTCTCAATGTAGAATATGGAGAATAGTATTTCGAGTGGGATCATTTCACTCGCACATTTCTTTCCTCCACGGAACAATTACGTTTTATCGCTGGCGTCTAAAGATGAAGTGACCGTAATTCAGTAGACGATTCCCCTTCGCACTTTTCTGCGGGTGACGAGCTCGTCTTATTTCCGTTCGCAGCCCTTGCTGCTCTTCCTCCTTTCCTCTCCTTCTTTCTTTCTCTCTCTCGTTTATCGCGTCAGTCAATTCGCGGTCGCGAATTTCCTTCTCTGTATCGGGCAGTGAGACCAGCAGCGTTAATTAATCGAAGTTTTCCGTTATTAACTACGTCTCCGTCTAAAATGTTATCGTGGAAAATTTCAGTGGAACAATCGTCTCATGTCACAATCGTCACAGATCACGAGCTGTTTTGCGAGTGAATTTTTACCGTGTGACAGATATAACGTATCGCATGTTTACTTTCGACGTTTTATCATTATGTGGAAACTGCCGCGGATTTGAGATACTTTTCAAGCTCAACGCGCGCTACACGTTTAAGACTCTTTGTAGGAGAAGATGAATCGGGAGTATGTGCAGGCCCGTTTTTACCGAATTATTATCCCGATGCCTCTCGAATTAACGAAGGACGAACGTATAAATATGTAAAGCCAGAATTACACTTTAAATGGCTCGCGTGAAGTTACACGAGTGTAATTGTATTTAACGATCACGGCCACGCATAAAATCGCCATCGGACAGGCTGAAATTTTTTATCTACTTTCGATAGATCTTTTCGTGCGCCTGAATATATTCTCACTGAAATTCTATTCAGAATTTAAGTCGACGGGGAGAGTTTTACGGAGTCGTTTTTAGGTACATCATCGGCCGAATATTCACGAAAATTCACTTGCATACGAAGCGAGTGGAATAAAAGTAAGGCAGTAGAGGGTAAAGATAAGAGAAACTTGTAATCCAATTTTTATCATCGTGCGGGTAATGAAACGGCTGTTGCTTCTTTCGCGAAAGACCGCGAGAGAGTGTCTCGGGCTTTTCGGTGTAATTTCCGCAGCGGCGCGGGCGGGAAAGAACTCTGTATATGCTCTTCATTATACCGATGCACGAAGTGGAAATGTAACGTTAAAGGTCGCAGTTAGAGGAAACTGGGCGTTCCTTATTCCCGTCATCGCGAGTAATGCTAGTATTAACAAGTATTCTCAATCTTTAATGCGGCGTGCCGTTTTGGCGCACATTTGCGTTAAGTTTCGCGATTTTATATGAAGGGCTAGAGGTACACGAAAGGCTTTCGAGCAACGAGTTGCTGTGAAATCGCGTTACATTTTGCATCAAAGGCTCACGGAGGCTTGAGAAAATTGAGCGTTATACGAGCATGCGACTATGCCAATTTCAGAAGTTACTTTAGCACAAAGAACATTTTAAATTCTTCTCTCTCAGTAGCTGCGTATAAAAGATACCGAACATTTTTCCCTTTAATTACGCACTCGGAACTTATCGATGTGAGTAACAATAGAGCGCAATTCCCTTTCCATACGTGGAAAAAGTATATGTCGCTTTTTCATAAAAAAGGAACATAAGAGGTCACCTTTTACATGGAGAGAATATATTTTCATATTATATCCAATTATATTATATATTGGTTTTTTTCTTTTTTCATATAAATTCTTTTCAATTTTACTATATTCAACACTATTTCATTTGATGAAAATTAACGATATGTAAGAATACGAAATGTAAGAATAGTGAATTGCCCCAGAATGTCGACCTATTTTTTGGTTATGAAATGTTGTGCAGTAACGTTTCCTATAAAATTCTTCCCGTGTATACTAGGGCGTAACCGAGTCGAAATTTTGGCTCTATGTTAAACCTTGAATTCTTGAAAACAACGCAATAGGAGCTAAGTTAGCAAAGTGGATTTAATTCTAATGACACAATTTACACTTACTTTGATTCTGATAGTATTCGAAATTTTCCTTTTCACTTTTTTCAATTTAACGTCGAGATAAGTGACTTGTGTGAACTTGGCACACCATTTTCAAAAATGTGACATTTTTTTTAGAGTTCTGATACTCTCTTGAAAAGT